AAAGTGAAACGTTGAAACGTTAAAAATGTGAATGTGAGTGTGGCTGGGTCTTGGTCTAGATGTACATATACTTACACACCCACATCCTCACCCAGCAACATCAAGGTCATATTTTACAAATTAATTTTTTAGCATTTGTGCTTTTTTATTAGGGTGTAGGTGTGGGTGTATTGGAAAGGAGCAGAACAACACGCACAGCCACAGCGACACTCACATCCACAACCACCCACACTCACACCCACACTCACACTCACACCCACACCCACACCCACTCACACCCACCCACACCCACACACCCACATCCAACCCACACCCACGCACTGTCCGGTGAACATCGATCATATTGAGACATCCCATGGCAGAATTGAGATTTTACTCGAGCTAGTAACATATATAATAATAGTAGAACATGTAAAACGAAGCAAGAATCAAACCTGTAAGACTTAAAAGGGAGATTGTTCAGCGTCGAATAAAAAAGAAAAAAAACGATTTGAGAATTACCTGAATAGAACGAATACGAAACAACAAATTACTGTTGAAATCATTGCTTACGTTGAAATGATACAGAGTAGAGGCGGCGCTCGCCTTTATATCTGATGAATCAGTGATATTTTTCGCATTTTGTCGAAAGTGAAGAAGCGCATGGGATGATCTTCCAATAAATAGAAATTCGATATTACTCCAACACTTGACTAAGCAATTGATTTTTTCTCCAAAAAAGCGTCACTAAATGGAATTGTTTTTGTAATACAAGTATCCAATAGACTCCTGTCATCATTCGAAACTTGAGTGTTGTTATTGCCAATCATTGACTCACGATGTGATGATGACTTAGAACAACCTCCAGGACAAATTTTGTTTTTGATATTTATATGCTTATTATAACCACAATCTGTAGACAGCTACATTCATTTGTATTTTGGACTATGTAAGAAAAGGTCTTCTATGAAAATAGTGACGTTGCTACGAGTGCTGGAAAGGCTGAGATTATTCGCGCGTAAACAAATTATTTCAATGGTGAAACAGATTTCTACTCCCTCTGTAGATATTTTTTCTGACGACTTGTTCCCTTTCTGTGAAGAATTTTCAGACATATTCGACTTCTAGATCGCGGTATCATTTGTCAACTCTTAAGTGAATGACGTTCAATTTTTTTCTCAACATCCTTCTATCAGATTATAGATTTAACTACAGAAATCTTCCTTTGATCTCACCATCATCATTTTTGTTATTATCATTCTTCATCAAATACAGTCGGATTCCAGATGTGAATTAGATCATTCTTCTGAAGCTTTTTTCTTTTCCTCTGTCTAATTTCTTTGAGACTGGAAAGCTTTCATCGTTATCTAGAGAAATGAGTAAGTACTCTGAAGGTATTCTCTGAACCACTGGCACCATAATCGGTTCCCTAAATATTCCACTGTTCATTCTAAATATTTTTCTGCAATAAGTAAGAGTTCGTTCCCACGTATAGACGTTTGCCGAAAAGTTCAGCTTTTTGACTCAATGTACACCCATGGAAGTCGTTGAACGTTATAATCTTTTCCTCTCACAAATTGCTATATGATCTGAGAGTTTTCGCTCTGACTCATAGTCAGTAAAAGGTACCCTAAAAGTTCCTGGTACTATCTTGAAATATTGATAGATTTCTGAAGCTCTTTACTTTTCCCTCATCAATTCCAGAGAGATCGACAATTATTTCCCGTCACACAGACATATGAATCACCTACTGTGAAGCTTTGAGTGTGGGTGTAAGAAAATAAAAGATCTCAACCAACATCCACGTTTCACACTGCCCTCATATCGATATGTATCATCTTCTTTCTTAGCATTTTTGAAATATTTTGTTTTATGATTCCTTTCAAAACCATCTTCGAACAAATATGACAAAGTCTAAGCCAATTAACTATTGTTCTATGTCGAGGGAACGTGAAATCTAAATCTGCGAGTGTCCGAGACCCACATCCATATCCCTCCATGGTCTCAACCCTAACTTTGACATATTACTCTCCTTTCATTTTCAGTTCTCTCCTTACAATTTTCGATCTATACTGTAGAAGATACTTGAAAACAATATGCGTTTCATATTTGTCTACAAAATGGATGCTAAAAACGCGCTTCGCTGTGTGTTTCATCCAGATTAACTCATGAGAATCAAGACACCTGATGAAGATGCTTTAAGGTCAAAAAAATGATCTACAATGCAAACGTCCTACCAGTATAATTTATCGATTGAGATAGCATATGTTCGTTCGACAAAACATTCACTATCGTGTGAATATAAATGACTGGGTGACATTTGAAGCGCTTTAGAGGCAACGATGTACATTACTACTAATCTTCTTCTTTCATTCTTGTTGGCATTACCGATCGCTAGTATTGAATTGAGGAGTGGTGACGAGGAAAATTTCAATGAACATCTGCCGTCCAGCCGTGGTCTGATCGACTGCTTTGTCTGGTATTCTTTACAAGGTGATCCTAGTGCACTCTTAGCTAAGACAGCGAAGCCGCCATGTCGTGTACCAACATCATTTCCTAGGACGTTATCCGGTGGATGGTCGGTAGATACTGCCTGTGATGCTGCGAAGCAACCAAATACCTGCTCATTGCATACCGGTGCTTACTGCTGTTATCGAAACGCATTAAAAAGTACGGGACCTGGAGCACAAGCATGTTATGATGAGTTCGGTCAATGGATTTCAGATCCGTGGCTCGGTGCCGGTACAATTGATAAAGAAACTCCACTGGGTTCTATCATTCAACAAGGAAAACACGTTTTTGCCGACGTTCTTCCATATTATAGTTGCTGCAAGACCCTCTTTGCATCACAACCCGAAACTTGCAACCGCTATTACGAGAAACGACCTCCGGGACAATGTGAGGATAAACCCGTGGTTTAGAGTTGTTGCTGAATAAATTCATTTCTTCATTTTCAAAATAAACTATTGAAGCTTTTTTGTTGCATGTATAGGAAATGTACAGTTACTCGCTGGAAGTATTGCGTGTAAAATAGAATGAAGCAAGAGTATGGCGAAAGGGATACAAAAAATTCATATGTGAAGCTATAATGATTACATAAAGAAAGAGTGATAGACGACCCCAGAGAGGGTTTGAGAGTGGGCGTTGATATTGGTATTGAGTGTGAGTGAGTGAAAAGAAGACTGACACCCACACTCATCATCGATGCTGCTTCTTATATAAGAATCGGTATCTAGTAACAACTAGTTACCTTGCACTTTCAAAAACCTTTGAACATGGTGCTTTATATGGTCGACCAATTTTTTTCAATGGTATTTACACTGATATTCTCAATTATCAACTTAGTTATCATTCACTCGATTGTGATGATACATGGAGGTGTATAACGTCTAGCTCAAATGCTCATGACAAATATGTAACATTGACTGGTCTGAAAACAAAGTTGTATAGATAACTCAGAAAATCTGTTTGGAGCAAATGTTCTCATTTCTCAAAACTATTGTTATGAAACACGATTTAAAAGGAATTCTTACAGTATACAGGGTAGACATTTGAACCTCCTTTGCCCGCCTGCTCTCACCACAGACCGTGACAGACGCTGTTGATGTGGGATGTGGGCGTGGGAGAGTATAAGATCCACATCAACGCCCATATCCCACATGCTTAATTTCAATCAAAGCACCACATAAAAAGTTTCTCGATTTAATGATAAATGGAAGGCTAACATTGAAAATAAAAGAATCCTATTGTATAAACATTTCAAATCAATTATATTTCTTATTCTGACTACTTTTTCATGTAAACCAAAACATCTTGAAACAGATGTATGATAGAAACTTAATTAATTTAATTTTTAGTTGTTTGTTTTTCTACTGCCATAGACATATTCGATGATATTAACAAGCTTTCCAACAGCAAGAGTTCGATCTTCATTATCTAATGTAAATCCACGTAGTCTAAGAAAGTTTTCAAATGATTCCCTACATATGGTTTTTCCCGCTATGATAATTCAAATTTTGCTATTGCTACTTGACTTTTTTTTCTAAATCTTGGATTTTCTCTATTTTTGTCACTGATTTGATGATCAATTAATGTTATTAATTTTTTAATTGAACTTCAGCTATAATTGTATCAATGTGAAGAACAGTTGAATGATCTAGACATATAAGTAATTTATGTTCAAGTATAGCAATCTAATGGAGAGACAAAATAAATACATTCCATCAATTTTCGCTTTCGCTAGGCTTCACTTGTGCATTAAACAGTCATCCAACTTCACAAGAATCTTGTTGGGCATCACACAGAATAATTTCAGGTGAGATTTCCTGAAAACTTCGACTAAAAATTATAATAACTAAATCAAAACGGAACTAACTTTTTCTTTAACATTCTTTAATTTAACCCTTTACCCCCCAATGGGTCATATATGACCCATTTGTAGACATGATCGCAGAAAATAAAGAAAGCATGAGACTGAAAAACTCCCAAGACATTATTTGTAGGGAACTTCACAAGCT